AAAAAAAAGGTGAAAATCAAAATACAAAACATAGAGCAACATCAAACTACTCATTCAACCCTCCCCCTCCTGAAAAGAACCCAATTTGCTTGGCGGAGGCAACTCGTTACTAAAATAGCATTTCCCGAGCCAATGTGTGGGCCTTGGGGCCGATGATGAGGTTGATAAAGTCACCGAAAAAGTTTGTTGAAAGCCCCAACCGAACGAACACCCTTATCCGATGTGACCCAATTTTTGCTTTGCTGCCTGTAAACACAGCGATAAGACTTTAAAATCAACGGCCCACATGCAAAGCGCTGCGAATTCGATCTGCGACTCAGAGGTACATATAGGATATAGCCATATATATATGTATAGCCTCCCCTGGCAATGCAAATTACTGAAATTGCCATGACGAACTTAGGCCGCTTTAATGGGCCGCACAAAACCAGAGACAGAGAGAGAGAGAATGAAGGAAGAAAAATAAATACAAAAATGGAAGCTCTTCCGGTTCCTCCCTGAGGGGGCGAAAACATAATTTGCGTTGCCTACTTTTGTGCGCGGGATTTAGAGGCACAACCTGACAGCCAGGCGTTGAAGTATAAACGGCGCCGCGAGTGCAATTCGCATTTGCCAGGCATTAGGCCTTATTAGGAGCAGGGTATAAACCTTTTTAGCTGGCACATTTTCCTTTGGGGCAGGCTGGCAGGCAAATACCTGGCCTGTTATCTATGCTATTTTCGGAGTCAATAATTTATGCTTCCGCTCCATTTTTCCCCCCATTGACGGCGCTATGTTGGCCTTCCAGTGACCCAATTCCGTTAACAGTGCAATCCACACTCGCTCTTAGACTCAGCGAACTCTCTTTCTTCTCATAAACTCATGCTCTTTGGCTGTTAAGCTGGCCTAGTTTTTCCTGGCCACAGTTAACAGAGCAGGCAAGTTGGTGTTGCCTCTCAGCAAGTGACGTTTCATGTGGCACGGACAGGGACATACTCCCAGAGAGAGAGAGAGAGAAATCGAGCAGAAGAGAGAGTAATTGAGGGTGTGTGTGTGAGGGGATGTTGTGTGTATACATCCCCTCTATATACTGTCGACCCAATTCCGCGGCTGTCCTTCCACAGCTGTTCTGATTTCAGTTTCGATTTCGGTTCGCATTTCCGCTTTTGTGTATTTTCGGCCCCGCCAACTCGACGTCTCTCTGGGGTTTGGGGTTGTTTATGCTGGCTTGGGAACTGCGGACTGGGAAATGGGAAATTGGGAAAGCGCCAAGATGAACAGAGAGCGCACGAAAACAGGAAAACTTTTATTTACCCCACGCACGTACATGCCGGGCTTGGTTTCGGTGTGGGGGAGTTTTCCCAAAGATGTGTGTGCTGCTGTCAAGTAAATTTTCATTGAATGCGACGCATTGGGGTTGGGGAAAGGGAAATTGCATGGCAACACAGAACTGCCTGAACTGATAACGTCAAATAAATCGATAAAGAATTATTAAGTCCTCAAATTAATAAGGAAGGATGTGCTGCCGATTGATCACATCATCATCATCAGGGGAAATATTTGAGCCACTCTTAAGGATTAGCCTCCAAGTACGTTCCCCGAGTAAATACAAAAATATACTTACTTATATTGAGAGTATACTATATATACAATGATAACCGGGAAGGAGAAGGTCCTGGAACTGGCGCCAGTCGGCCAAACTGCCCCACTTTCCACATCGCTGCCGTCGCTTTCCCTGCAAAAACGACCTTAAAGAAGATTCATGTTATGCCGCCCACTCACATTGCCTATTTATGTTTGCCCGGACCCGTAGCCGTAGCCGTAGCTGTAACCGTACCCGGAGCCGGCTTCCTTCCCGCTGTTTTTCCTGCCAAATCAGGACATAGTGCGGTAGTCATTGCCGCCGTAATGCGCACACTTCTCAAACCGGGGGTGGAATTTTATTTCCCGCTCCAGCAGTGATCCGGAGCCCGAGCCCAAAAGTTTGCCAGCTGGAGTTCTACGCCGGCGAATGGTTTTCTTTCATTAGCAAACAGGCGTCCCGTCCCCTCATTAGAGCCGAGAAGGATAATTAACACGCACCAATACACGGGAACGTGGAACGTACAGCTTTCAGAGACATAATTCAAGCTGCTTTAATTTACTTTCGCATTCGACTCACTTGGCAGGTGGCAGAGGCTAGGGGATGGAGGCGGATTGATAGACCGAAACGATTCCAAACTCGTTTCCGCATTAATTGAATATAATTGAGGAGCAGGCGTCAGCTGGGAATTGAAAATTACGCATACGCAGCGTTTGACAAACGATCCATGCTTATCGGCCGGCGAAAACAAAACGATGGCATTAATATAAACCCCTTTTCCCAGACATTCCCGGTCGCCTTAAGATGCCAGTCACGCAGCCGAGCAACTCCGGAAAACTGCAAACGGAAAATGGCAATGGCAGGAAAACACTTCCCAAGTAGGCACACATACACACACTCGCATCTGGCAACAATTGCCTAGTGTGTGCGTAAATGTGCGTGTGTGGCAGTCGCTGGCCTTTATTTATGTGCCAGGATATGCGTTGTATCCTGGCCCCAGAAGTCTGGCCGCAAACGAATTACGGCCGCCCACTAATTGCACCAAGTTAAAACGAAAATGGTGTAGAACTTTCCGCTTTTCGCTCACTTTTGGTTGCCTTTGGCAGTTAATGTTACACCGAAACAAAAGGTTAACATGGAAGATTACCAGTAAAAAAGAAAGGAAGCCGAAAAAGGTTAAGCTGGAAGATTAATAATAAAACAAGAAGGGAAGCTAATTTCAGTAACCAAAATTTCTATAACCTTGCAGGGAAAATCGCTCATAACTCAGTCAAAAATCCATTAATTTTCAATCGGAAAACAGTTCAATGCTAACTTTTTATAGATAAACAAATTTGCATACTCAGTTTTCAAATTTAACAACTTCAAATTTTTGTCAAATTTTGACAATTTTAATGATGTAACCCCTTATAAAATTTTCAATTTTTGAAAAGATGTCAAAAATTTATTTTTTGACCGAACATGGCTAGATCGATTCAGCTTTTGATGCTGATCAAGAATATATATGCGTTTGTAGGGTCGAAAATGATTTCTTCACAGCGTTGCAAGCTTCTGACTTACATTATACCCAGCAAAAAGGTATAAAAACAGACCAGTTTTTTGGAAAATCTAAGTTTTTCGGACATCATAATTAAGCCGAAATTGAATCAATTTTAGTTCAGAAAGCTTTTTTGTGCTACTTCTTATTGCACTATTTAATCTGCTTACTGCGTTTGTTGATGCTATTGTTAGTTTTTGACTAAAATTATAAAACCTGGCAAAAAGGTATGAAAACAGACAATTTTTAATGATGAAATTTTTTCCCTTATGAAATTTTCGAATTTCGGAAAAATTCAGAAAATTTATTTTTCGACCGGACATGTCTAGATCGACTTAGCTTTTGATGCTGATCAATAATATATAAGGTTTGAAGGTTCGAAAATGATTCCTTCTGCGTTTCATGCTTCTGACTAACATTGTAATACCTTACAAAGGTAATATCAAATAGGACCAAGTTTTGAGTTATCAAAGAACAACCCTTGACTTATTATGTACTAAAAAGCTATATTTTATCACTGCGAACCATAATAGTTAAATAAATTGCGTTCAATAAATCCCTATAAGCTCTTAATTTCATAAAAATAATGAACATAATTCCAAATTAGTCAAAACTATCTAAGGTAATGTTTTTTCCCCGTGTACACACACTCCTGCAGATGAGTGCCAACCACGTGCGTCAACAATTTACGCCGCTTAAGTAGCGCTGGATATTTATGTTTATGATTACGTTGCGGTTCGCAGCTTCCCCGAATAGCATTCAGGCGATTCCCTGCTTGCCTCGCATACGCATTACGCATACGCCGCATGTGCCCTGTGTGAAAAGTGCTGCGGCTTAAGTGCGACCAACAAAAGCGGGGAGGGGGCTGGCGAAGTAAAAGCCAACGAACAAAGCACTCTCCCTCTCTTTCATCCCCCCCTTCCTGGAAAAATCTCAAACCAAAAAGTTGTAAACAAATCGTTAATCACTCCTACGCCCGCCCCAAGGGCAGAACCGAAAAGTGAAAAGCGAAAACTCAATTTTCAATTTGGCCCAGCTCGGTGGCACAAGGACAACAATTGCCAAAGCAAGGACGCAATCAGCGGCTGGCAGTGCCCGCAAAACTGTATGTAAGCCAGAGCCGACGAGTGTATTAACTGGGTCAACTGGCGGCGTCGCTGCCGGCGCAGCAGCTGCAGCGCTGCCCTAACCTTCAGCATAAAGCGCAGCATAAATGCAGGCGCATAAAAAGCAAGCAGCGACGACGACGACGAGCAAAAAGCTGAGCGCGAAAAGCGTGTCAAGGCGAGCGGCAAACGGAGCAAAGCGACCGCAAGGTGACCCAGTAAATAGGCGGGTGGTTGGGTGGTCTATGTACTTTGGTTTGGGGCTGGCCCCGGGGGCGGATGCTCGGGCAAGGACGCGAAGGCGTACCGGACCCGGGACTGTTATCAGTGCAGTGCAGTGGCGATGCCGCCGCCTGATGCCATTCGTGCGGCATCGTTTGCCGCTCGGGCGAGTGTCCAAGGATTCAGGCAGCCTGCCAGCCAGTTGCATTGTCCGCACCAACACAGTCGCACTTGGCACCGGGCCGGCACCGGTTCGAATCGCGCTCCAGCTCCTGTAATTTTTTTCGTGCTCGCTCGTTGTTCCATCGCGGTTTTCCCTTTACCAAGTATGAATGCCATGGCACTCAACTACTACGTGGAGCGCAGCGATTACGAGAGCTATGGCGGTGATAGTCCCATGGTGGATTGCTCATCGCGCTCCTCGTCGGCATCCTCAGAGGATTCCCTGCTGCAGTCCTGTTCCCGCCAAGTACGATAAGGTTTCCCATAGCTTTTAAATTTAAGACCCATGTGTAGACAAAAAAATACCTATAAAATCCTCTAATTCATATATTTTTTCTCCGTCTCTTTGCAGTCCAAAAAGTTCCGATGCGTTTTTCCAGGATGTCACAAGGTGGAGCCCGATCAGAAGAAAATTGAGCGTCACATTAGGAAAGTGCATTTGCGGTAAGTTGACGTACTACTTCTCCTCCATCCCCTCATTCTGATGGGTATTAAGTGGTCGGGGAGGCGTTGAATACGCGAGCAGCAAGTGGGGCGGGCCTTGACTTAGCCACCGCATCGTCGTGGGGCTGGGTGCCTCGACCTTCTCCGCAAGTGGTTCCACGGGAAGCCCGAAAGTGGAGCACTCGAGCGCAGTAAGCAGGTCACACGACGAGTGCGCTGCTCCTCGCCTCGCGAGCACGCAGATTACAGTGCGCACACACCACCTGCAGGCCAAAGTGGGTGTAGTGCAGCGCTTTTGAGGCCAAGGTCCGGTCTCCAATCGCCCACACACGATCCGCGTTGAGCTTTGACACCTGGCAATCTCGTTTCCTATGTAAATCAATGGGGGTCTGTGGGGCTCAGTCAGTTAATTCCATACAAAGAAAAAGACGCATTGGGGTTTCGTTTTTTGTTGCTTTTACTTTGACATTTTTTGTTGTTTCTCTCTCGCGGTATACGTATCTATATGTATATAATATGTTTATAGTTATGTATGCAGTGTGTGTTTGTTGGTGGAGTGGTTGTTATTGTTTCTTTTGTTGGCAAACGAACAGCTCTATAAAGTACAGTACGCATATAGGATGCACAAGAATGTGTGGTGTCGTGTTGGATGTGTGTATATATATCTAGGTATATATATTCTTATATAGCGCTTGGCAGGCTGGCAGCGATCTACGTCGGGATCCGGGCAGGGTGACGGAAGTTGGAGCCAAAAGTAAAACAGCTTCGCAATCGTAGTCGGGGGCAATATATGTATAATCTCTCGTAACTTAGCACTAAATCCTATGAGCAATTTCTTACAATTTGAATCGAACTAAGGACTAAACACAAAAACACAAACACGGCCGACAAGTACAAGTACGAATACAAAAAAATTGAAACTAGATGGAGAGAGGTATACACAATAAAATATATATAATAACACACGTAATATAGATACAATCTGAATATGTTGGTTTGTTCAAAGCTTTTGCAATTGGCATATTAACTAAGAAACTTCCTGAAGCGCAGAGTCCCGTGTGGGCTAGATATCGCGATTACATTTTTCGCTTACGGTTTAAAAACACTAATTACTATCGGCTAAAATTAGCTTAGGCTTATTAATATGCTGCGTGTTCTAAACAACTACATTAGTCTGCCTTGATTTGTTGATTGTTTTGTTGGTGGCTGGGATTCCTCCGATAAATTAAAAGAGCTTTAGGTCTGTTAAATAGAGGGGAGAAAGAAGTATAAGGAGGATCGGATGAGGGAAAAGGTGTGCGGAAAATAATTTACACTTTTCAATAAATAACCTAAGCATAAGAATAAAAGGGCAATAAACAAAGAAAGGCTGACAAAAATAGAACCAATGATTTAAGTTGAGTTGACTTTGATAGCATAGAGAATTCCCAGATAGATGTTAAATTATTCGATCCGACGCCGACACCTTCTTAGTGCGGATGCATAAGTCCGTGGGTGATGTCCATGCCATCTCCGATTCCATTGACGCTGAGGCCGCCGTTTAGCATGCTAGAAGCTGGGTGGAAAACACACACATAATTAGTTTAGATCTCTCTAGGGGAATAGCCTTGAAAAGCTCTCACAATTACGCGATCCCTGAGTGTCCATCTGCGTCCAGTACTGCTCAGACGGACTCTGCGTACTAGTCCCCGGCGGCGCCTGCACCGGCGCCCCCGTGTACCGAAAATACGGATTCTTCAGGTCCAGGGTGTTGCTCGACGAGATCAACGTTCCCTCGATATGCAAGTCGATGGTAACATCGTACGACTGCCTCCTGTTCGCCTCCAGCAGGACGCGGCCTGTCAGCGTCTGGCCCTGTTTAATGAAGATGGGCATGGGCAGCAAGCAGCGCACCTGATACCAGTGCGTTAGGGGCGCTGTAGGCGACGTCGAGAGCCATACATTCTGACTGCTACCGCTGAACTCCACGTCGAACCAGAAGGCCAGTCCGTGACAGATGCCTGTCTGCAGGATATGGAACTCGAGGGGAATATCTGTAGGCGAGAGAAGAGAAAGTTAGAGAGACCACCTTAAGCCATGTGGGAGCACTCACCTATCAAATGCAGATCGTCCTCCTTATCGTTGAGAAAGTCGCACACGTGCCGCACCGACTTGGCCATGCAGATGCGTATGTCGAAGGTGTCCACGATGGGCTGTCTGAAGTACTCCTTCATGCCCTCCTTGTGCAACGTGGTCAGGTCGACGCCGTGGAAGGCCGACTGGTACCAGAAGTTGGCCTTGTTGTACTGTTCCGAGTAGAGCGACTCGTCCGAAAAGGGAGCTATGTGCAGGTCGCCGTGCGTGGGATACATTTTGCCATTCGGCTTCAGCCACTTTCGGGCGTGCAGATAGGTCTCTAGCATTCGTTCGTTGTAGAGCATGTAGCCCATGGGCTCCGACACGATTACGTCCACCTTCTCCGGCAGCTCGATCTCCTCGATCTTGCCCGGTATCACAGAGATCTTGTGCTGCACGTTGTTCGACTCGACCAGCTGCTGGGCGTACTGGGCCATGTTTGAAGCCTCGATGGCGTACACTTTGGCGGCGCCAGCCTGCACGGCGAAAAATGAGAGTATGCCGGAACCGGCACCAACGTCCAAAACGACCTTATCCTAGAAAAGCAGGGTTTTGTAAGTTAGAGTTCCTCTTGATGGCTTCAGCCAACACGTACTTGAAAGTCAACCGCATTGCCCAGTATGGCCCTCTGGTAGGTGCTCGTCCTCACATAGTCCTGCATCATGTTCTGCTGCTGGCTAAGGTAGCCGTAGAACTGGAAGTACTGCGAGGCGGACGACTCCTCGGTGCGTTGCGAGAACACGGACTTGGGCCGCAAATGCTTTACGTTCTCCACCACTTTTCGGAAGAGCTGCTGGTCCTGGTCGCTAGCAAATCGCAGCACCAGATTGTCCGCGTCCAGGGAGACGGCGTAGCTCCGGCGTCCCATCTGAGCGGCATCCGTGTCGGCGGCTATCATGTACTCCTTGAGCACGTGGCTTCGGTCATCATCTGGGGAGAGCATAGGGTTAATGGGGCATCGAAAAGGAAACTTCGCTAGAAACCCTTACCCGGCACAATGCGCAGCACCACTCCCTGGGAGTCGTAGCTGCAGACCAGCGTGCAGCTGCCCTTGTATTTGTTGGTGAACTCCAGCTTCTGCTCATCGGCGATAGCGCTGATCACCACGCCGCTGAACTGGCAGTTGCTGAGCGGGCAGACGACGGCGGCGGCGGACAGTTTGCGGGGCTGCGACTCTTCGGGTCGCACGCTGGACATCTTGGCTGGTGCTGTGGCTATCTCTGCGCTTTTCGCAACTTTATCTGGGGATCACAGCCCTCACTTTTTCTCCTTTTTTTCTTAATTGACAATGTAGGCCGTGCAATACACACACGCGCGCACACACACAACACACAAACACAGAGGCAGACAGACAGACGCGCACTTTTTTCAGCGAACTTTTGCAACAATACAGAGGCAGGCAGGCTGACACGCGAATATATATTTCACCTCTATCTGGGAACTTTTTGCACAACAATGGTAATTGGCGCGCTGCTCTGGCTTGGATTTGTTGATTTTGTATTGATTTCACACGGAACGTGCGTATTTTTTTTTGCAAAAAGTTAAATTAGTGTGACCGTTCCAGAAATTGCTTTTGAATATCAATATGCCGATATTTTTGTAGACATAAATTGATACTTTGCCTCTGGGCACTCTTACTTCTGTGGCTGTTATTTAACATTCGACATCTTAGGTGTCAAGATAACAATTTTACACGTTTACAGATACATGGGGTAGAATTCTCGTTTTTGGGGTCGAATTCTCATGTATAATGTTAAATTCTTAACATAAATACGTAATATAAATTCAAATGTATATATGATTTATTATATATTGTATTAGAGATATAATTACCATGCTATATATTTTTGACATAGTAACGCACGTGACACAAGGGAAAATAAACCAGTTTTAATACCGTTGCTGCGCGCTGAATGGCATTTCGGGCTGGTTGGCAACGCGAATGCGGCAATGCAAAAAACAAAGAACAAAAATAACGGTCATTTGAAAGGGATGAAGTTTTGAATTTGATTTATATATAAATTAGGTTAGGTACAATCTAGGTACCGGTACCTTATGCAACACCGCCTTCAAGAAATGGTTTTAATCAATTTCCTCCGCTTTGCAGGAACAATGACTGCGAGAACGAGGAGGAGTTCTACTACACGGAAGACGACGACGACGACGAGGTAAAGGCGCCCAGCCTGGCCTCCGAGCCGACGCTCAGCCACCGGGACATGGCGCGTCCGCCGCACGAGGATCCGGAGTACCAGAAGCAGATCGTTGGCAATTTTAAGTGGGTTTCCCCTTCGCGAATGGATTACCATCTGGAGCAGCAATACTAACCCACCGTCTCTCTTTACAGGCAAGGACGCGCCGGGAGCCACAACAACCACCTAAGGCAGCCGCATGGCCGCATTATCAAGTGCAGCAGCAGCATCCCGAGCACCCACCAGCAGCAGCTGCAGAACAACAACACCAGCTGCATACCCACTTCGCACCTGGCCCACCACAACTACACCTGGCCAGCGGCGGCGGCGGGCGGTGGCACCGGCACGGTCACCGGGGCCGGGATGGCAGCGGGACTGGGTACGCCCTCTGCAGCCGCCTCCTCGCCGCTGAGCAAGCACGCTCGTTCGTCGTCCAACCGTCTGACCCACTCGGTAGCGCCATATCCATCGCCGACGAACGTCCAGCAGCAGCACCAGAGCAGCCACCACACGCACCACCACAACTATGCCGGCAGCAGTGCCAGCGCTACCAGCAGCAGCAGCAACAGCAGCGGCAGCGGCAGCCCGGTGATCCACAGCAATAGCAGTGCCAATAACATGCTGCAGCAGCTGTCGCAGCAGAATGTCACGGTCACGGCACACCACAGCCAACAGCAGCAGCCACATACGCAGCAGCACCACCAACAGCAGCAGCACCACAGCCAGCACCAGCAGCAGCATCAGCAGCATCTCCTGTCCAGTGTGACGATCACGCCCAATTACCATCCGGCGCAGCAGCATCCCCACCAGCAGCTGCACCATCAGCAGCAGCACATGCGGCCGCATCAGCATCCACAGACAACTGCCGGCAACCTGGTTGCCCACAACAACAGCCACAGCAACAGCAACGGCAGCAATCCCCTGCAGCACCTGGCGGGGCAGCAGGCGGCGGCCAAGCACACGCCCCACTCGCCCGGCAAGAGGACGCGCGGCGAGAACAAGAAGTGCCGCAAGGTGTACGGCATGGAGAAGCGCGACCAATGGTGCACCCAGTGCCGGTGGAAGAAGGCTTGCAGCCGCTTCGGCGACTGAAAGCGGCAGAAGTCGTCGACGGAGGCGGCAAACCAGGCGTCGGCGCACATCTCCAAGGCAGCAGCAGCATCAGCATCAACTCCCCATCCAGCAACAACTACTCCGAATCCGAATCTAAGTCCAAATCCCACTCAGAGTTCAAGTCCGAGTCCAGCGGCTAGCAAGTTAACCACCACGGTGGTGCGGCTGGCGGCGGAGGTGGCTGCCGGCAAGCAGTTGCCCGCCTCTTTGACCATCAAGACGAACAAGCGGTATGGCGGCGGACAGGTGCATCCGTATGCGGTGACCGCCAACAGCAACACGATCAGCAATCGGCCGGTGCGTATACGCAGTGTGGCCACCTCGGTGATTGTGGCGCCCATTTCGTCGATGAGCCAAGCAGAGCAGGAGGAGGATGAGGGCGAGGAGGAAGAGGATGAAGATCAGGAGGAGGATCAGGATCAGGCAGAGGATGTGGAGGAGCAGCTGGCGGAGGCGGCGGATCAGGAGGAGGAGCAGGTGGCTGCAGCCAATGGCCTGCTGGCCTGGAGCCGAGCAGCCGCCAGCCAGCATCAGCAGCAGCAACAGCAGCAGGCTCAGGCCGTGCTGATGCAGGGCTAAGCCAGCATCCTGCATCCTGCATCCTGCCTCCCTGCCTACCGTCGACCGTCTCCCGCCGAGCTCTGGAGGATTGTGGCTGCTGCCACCGGAGGAGGAAGCCCGACAAATGCGAAATGCAAACGAAAAATGGTCTCTTCTTATTTACTCTGCATTGAATTGTGCACCTTAAACACGTAACGGTATCTCTTTTGTTGTTGTGCAGGTGTTCGCCAACTGCCGTGCAAATGTTGCTGACAGCATTTGCGCCCGGGCAACATTTGCAATCTACAATAATCTAATTATTATTATTATTATTACTATCATTATGACTATTATTACAGTGCGTAAATATACATATAAACCTATACAATATTTATTTATAAAATGACTTTGTTAATTCTTATGTTAAAAACAAGCGAAACAAAAAGTAAAACAAAACGAAACAAAACAAAGCAAAATAAGCAACAGCAAACCAGCATCAGTTGGCAGATTTTTATATACAACAGATCTAATACGTATATGCCAGCTGTTTTACATAAAACAAATACATAAAAAAAGCAAAAGAAAAAAGCAAAAAAAAAACAGAAAGCTAAAGAAAGGAAATGAATGGAAGGATTCAAACATAAACAACAAACAAAAACAAAAGAAAAGAAACAATATTTAAAGCAAATATACATTTGATTTTTTTTAGTTTGTAAGAAATCTAGTAAATTTTTTTCTAGTATTAAGTGCAATTTCTGTTCTACTTCTCGCTCTAAACAAAGAAAATGAAAAGCTAAAACAAACTCAAAACAAAAAAACTAATCAAAATGGAAAACTATAAAGCAGAATATTCAAAACGAAACGAAATGAAAACCTAAAGATATGCAGATATTAAATATTCAAGGCGTTGCATCTACACATTATATAATAGGCATAAACGACAAACAAATAGTTAAATTACTTGCATAATCATTGTGTAATTCAAATCCAAAAGAAAGCAAAAGCAAAAGCAAAACAAAACCGTTTAAACAATTTGTATGTGTGTGTTAAAGCGCTAAGAGTTAAGTATTAATCAAACTTCATGCATACAAGGACGGCAATAGAGAAGGACACACAGCTAAATAATCTAGTTAATTAAGCACCCAGCAAGAGCACACCCGATACACCACCACCACCACCCAAAGGTCCACAGACTGTCAAACATCCATAGAACAATTACCCAAACCCGAACCTAAATCACAGCCAGAACCTAGATCCCATGCTACTCTGTAACATATAGACATTACGAGCAACTTAAACTTAAATGTAGTGAATTTTAAACAAAAACCAAGCAAGCAAGCAAACAAACAAACAGCAAACAGACACAGACAGGCCGACGACAGACACACTGATAACTGATAACTGATAACTGATAACAGATAACAAACAGCCGAAGGATATAGATCGAAGCTAAAGAACAGGAACCGTCAAAATTTCTAGATTGGAGCCAGAAGGAAAAACGTTTTTCAAACATGTTCAAATTTTTATTAATACATTGTTAAGTTGATATTTTCTTAAAAAACAAAAACACAAAAACGAAAAACGAGAGAAATTCGTCTATTGATTAATTTGTAACGAACTTATGACTAAAATCTAAGATTTAAAGATTTAAACTTTAAACATTTAAAATTTAAAAACAAAGGAAAACTTTTTGCGTTGTGCAACTGTTGTGAATTGTTCAAATTACGGTATACACATACAATACAATGACGTCACAAAGAAAAGACCCAGCGAGGTTTGCGAGGAATATATATATATATAAATATATATCTTATATAAGCATATATAGCAGATATCGATACAGCTGAGATCGAGAAGGGAAGGCAACTTACGGACGAAGAAGGAAAGATAAAATACACAAGGAATTCTTAACCAAATTGGAAGTACAAACTAAAGTCTAGAATATGTAAATATAGTACCCCCCATACTACACAAACACACACACGCGAGTGCGGGCATAGTGGAAAAGCGAGGAAAATGGATAGGAGAAAAGCAGTGCAATGCTATGGAAGGAACGAAGTCGAACGAGGACTCGGGATTGGAAAAGCTGGGAAATTAAAGATGAGATACAGAATGAAGAAGGAAAATTTGAGCTTAAGTGCGGCAGCAGCTTTAAACAGCTTCTTGGAAAGGAAAATGAAAAATGGGAAAGGAAAAGCTAGGAGGGGGAAATCAGAGAAAGAAAGATAAAGAAGAATTGATAGAGAACGATGAGCTTGAGCTTAAAAACCGTAAGGAGAAAACACGCAAGCGATAATTTCATTGAAATTGTTTGCCGTGATTTGAATGAAATTCATAATGGTGGCCATTTTTTGTGTAATGCGAAAAAGTTTAACAACAATTTTTTTACACTTGTATTTCGTTTTTATTAATACTATATAAGTTTAAACAAACCCACAACAACAAGTCGGAGGAGTAAAATGCAAACTGAGAAAATGGAGAAACAAAAAAATACATTTTACTTACTTTTTTGTCTGTCGCCCAACGCGTCGTGTCGGGCGTCTATTCTTTATTACGATTTATGATTACGAGTATGATTATTGTCATCATTATTATTGTTTTTTTCTTGCTAATTTTCGTGCACCCTACACACAAACACTGACACTGACACAGACACACCCCAAAAACATTACGTAGCTAAGTACGTACACTCGATCTATTTCGTTGCGTTCTGGAAATTATTTAAACTTAAGCGATATTTTTAGAGAAAAACAAAAACAAACCAAGAAAGCAAGCAAGCAAGAAATGAAATGAAAACTATCCATTATTATTATAATTATCGCTAATATTTCTTACTATTTTACGTGTACGATTACCATGATCGCGAAAAGAGCAAGAAATCCCAGGTGTGGTCCTTGACCTCACCTGAACCAACAACAACAAGCAGCATCGAAGAGGAGTGACAACAGAGGAGAAGGATTCAGAATCAGAATCAGAATCAGAATCGAAAGAATATATTCATAGATCTATCAGCTCTAATCCATCGAAAGTGAATGCTAAATAGATTCATTCAATAGCGAGAAATATAATATTTCTTTTTTTAGTTCTTCTTTTTTCTTGAAAAGAAAGCAACACAACAACAACAACAACAAGAACACCCATTTTATTAAAAAAAAAACAAACAAACAAAACCAACAAAAATACAATTGTTATTTATAATTAAACAAAACAAAAACCAAAAACCTTGTTTTCATTATGATTTCTCATCTTTCAGTTCTATGTGTGTTTTAGTTTAGTTATTTATCCTTGTGTTTCGGATAGACCGTTACGACTCACGACACCTGTTACCTGTTTCCCCTCCGGAAGACGATTGAATGCATTTCTCGAACAGTCACGGTTTCTCCCAGGGTCTCAGATGTAGAACAGATCGCATTGCATAACTTTCGAATGCTTCAGATACATATATACATATAGATAACGTTCTTTTGTTGACGATCTACAGATCTACGGATAGAGAGGTGCTTGCATGAAGACCGATGCGTTTATATCTATAAAAAAAAAAACAAAAAAACATAACTACAAATTATATATAATATCGGGCATATTTGCCTCCGTGTACGTGAAAATTGTATGTGTAAGCAGATAATATGCATGTAGATGGAAACTTATGATATTTCTTCTGATACTTATCGTCGTTATTGATGTGTAAACATAACATAAACTTAAGCTAGGAAGCTGGGAAGGATTCGGCAAGGATTCAAAGCTCGATTATAATTAGATATCTCACGGCAGCTGGCGGCCGGAGGAGCTATGTGTCTCCGGCGCAGCGAATGCTGGTTCAGCGCGGTATGTTGCATCCACTAAACGATATAACTAAGTAATTGATACTTGATACATTATATACATATATATACAGTACATTTAGGTGTGCAGCCATAGGGGGCTAAGGGATATATCTATATATCCGTTTTGCGGCCTGGTCTTTGTCTTTGTGTGTGTGTTGGTGTTCACCCATTTTTTTGGATAATTGGATAATTGGAGAGCGAAATTAGTTATAAAAACCACAAAAACTTAAAAAAAAGAATCTAAAATGAAAAGAAAATTGCATTCAATATAAGGCTGATTTATTTGACTCGTTCATTTTGATATATAGACACACCTGACACACACTCGACACACAGACACACACAACACACCGCACTCGCGCTCGCATATCAGCCAGGCAGCTCTAACGGTGCTAGACATTGAGAACTCCATTTAAGATTAAGTGCATTAAATTAAATTAAATTAAAGCGGTTAGTTTAGTGAGTATCCAGCAAAAGACTTGCGCATCCTTGATTTAGCTGCGTTTTCACCATCACAATCACAGTCCTTTTCTACACTCACTTGCACCCCTTCGCATTAAATCATTTTTCACCAACGATTGGCGATGATGATATGGATCGAAGCTGCTATCTGGGATGTAGGATCCCTAAAGGATAGAGTAGAACGAAAGTAGTTGTTGGAATATGAAAGAACAAAGTGCTATACACTGCCAGCAACGAAGCATCCATCATCCAAGTCCAAGGAGCTGCAAAGGAATCGAGGCTATCAATCTCAATTCAATAGTTTTGCAGCTCTCACGCCTTTCAGCTCGATTCATTTAATCTGCCTAGAAAACTCACACACTCACAGAATAAAATTTAATGAAAGCAATACGCTGTTTATACAATCAAGTATCCTTTTGTACTTTAAGGGATAGTGTCACCTCTCTCATGCATCGCACACATTCGCCATTCTTGTAAACTGACTGATACTTCAAACAAAAAACAAAAACAAAATATTTAACATACGAAGCGAGAATGATGGATCACGGGAATCAGTAATTGTGAAATCATCTTGCATAGGGCATCGTTTCAATAATAGGTTCTACATAAGTTTTTCTACCCAAGAGTTGTTGTAACTTTTTTACATATTTAAATTTATGATAATTGGCAAAGGACAATTGTTTTGATACTGCTGCGATGAGAACTTCGGCCGAAATTGTATTCAATTATTTTGCATCGATTGATTGATTGATTGGCTGGCTAACTGAAACCACTAGATGTCTTCAAAATTGGCTAAAATGAAAGCAAAATCCTGATTTTCGAAAACAAAGACTTTTTGTTCTGGGGCGATCGAGACCCAGGAAATTCGGTTAACAGAAATTTCGAGGAAATCCTAAAAATTTAAAATTAAAAAAGAAAAAACCTAACAATTAAAAATTAACGATTAATGATTAAAAATTAACAATTAACGATTAACAATTAATATGTAACATTAACAATAATCGGTTTAGTTGACAGCCGAGAGAACTTTATTAGGATCTAGGCGATATGAGAGAATACTTTGAATGATTGAATTGACTTGCGACTCGACTTGATTAAATTTAGACGCTCCCACTAACCTACCCCCGTTCCCACCACGTTTGTATTAGTATTTGTACTTGAACTTGTATGTCTAGCATTAGGGGCAACCAACCCCATCCCCCCCCAGGCACACGCGCACTCTCATATTCATCTTCGTCCTTGAACCTTGAACTCTTCGTGTTTTTATGTGTAGTTCGTAAGCGATGAATAATACTGAAACTGAAAAAAAAACAAATCTATGATAATTACTTGTTGTTGTGTCCACATCTATATAGATATATACAGCGTACCCTATCGGATACAGATTGTGAGATTCCCCCAGCCCCAGTTGAGTTGACGACACGCCCTCCTCATCCTTGTTTCTGTTTACCCAAATTGTTGACTTGTTTGCTGTTGAGAAAAGATACAATATAAAATACCTTTAAGTACGTTTATCACCCCCACTGTGTACTTACAACTCGGTTCTGCTTGCAAAGTTAGGATAGAGCATACTTTAAAGGCAGCGGCAGCGGCGGTTCAGGTCCTTGGACCGACGCAGCCGCGGATGATCACCATAATAAAAAGGTACAAAAGGCGGCACAGGTGGCTGGCGGCACTCCATTGCCGCCACGCCCACCAGGGCCAGAGGCGTAGGCCTGGAGCAGGTGAAAGTAAAGCAGAAAACACACACAAGGCACACCAAACACACACCACACACACCATACACAGAGACACGGATAATATTACGATTACGAATACGATTACGAGCTAGCGTAACTGAGTTTTGCATTTCCAAACAAAAACAAAAATACAAATAAAAATAAAAATAAAAACAAAAAGAAAACGAAAACGAGAATCAATACGAATACGAATACGAATGAAATGTGAAGAGATGAAGATAGAGCCAGGAGAAACCATATAAAACCAAATAAATAACCAGCAACTAAGTGTCGTGTATATTCCATGTTAAAAAGCAGAAACAGCAGCAGCAGCAGCAGCTCTATAAAGCATATATTATACATGTATACAGTATATATTTAAATACCAGTACTTATATAACCATATGCATACATATATCTAACCGAATTACGAATAGCGAACGAGGACGATCTACTCCCTTCTGACAAATGGCAATGATTGTTCACAAGAGCCCCCGCAGACACATTACTCATACGCACTGTTGTGCTTGGTCCACGCCGAAACTTGCGTAAGATAGCAGCTAGAGAAAACTCGAGGACCCAGAACCCAGAAACCCAACTCAATCACTAGTGACCCCTACTACTACTAATTACTACTAATACTACTAATTCTTAACTTAGCCCACTTGCACCCACATATACCTATATAGTGCAGCAGCAGCAGCAGCAGAGATGTTTAACACTTCAATTGAACATTGGTGAGAATCGAGTACCTACGAAACTGAATGAGATACAGAGAAAGACAGAGAGAAAGAGAGAGTCCGCACAGGGACACAGGACATCCTGCCATGTCCTGTGTCTCTGCTCGGACACACTATATTTTTTGCAAAGCAAATTGTGCAGAAACTAAAGGAGAACGTTTTAAGCGCAAACATTTTTAGACAAACAAACAAACAAACCGAAAAAATAGAGGAGCAAAGGGAAACAAAAAACACACTCACACACAAAACTACAGATCACAAATATATATATATATTTATATATTTTGCGTCTTTATATATACACTGGCAAAACGGCATATTTGTATATTTACACCCGATGTACAGATCAGATCAGCAGCTACCAATCACAGCAGTTAGAGAGATAGAGATACTTTAGTGCTCGGTTGCTTCGGTTGCTTCTTATGCTTCACGTCCACATCCCCGTCCCGCCATTGACTCCGTCTCCAGATCAATCATTAACCAGTCTGGTGAGGAACTCCCCCATCCGCAAGTGTACGTAAACCTCACCCACTCAGCTCACCAACTCACCTCACACCGAAGCATTATTAATAACTCTAACAACATTCTCGTTATTAGAAATCCCACAAGGTAAATCATTTTCCACACTATTTTAAGCGATTGAAAATATACAAGCAGAGCTCCATCAGATCATTTCAATGGACGTGTTTATGAATGTTGATTTTAAACAGTAACTAGAAATCAGAATGGAAACAAAAGCAAAAACAAAACAAAACGTAAACATAAACGATAAACAACTAATTGTATGAACTAAGCAGAACAAGATAAAAATTCTATAATAAAATAAAAATAAAAACAGAAAAGACAAGAGCAAGATGATACTTTCAAAACTAACTATTGGTGTTTTTATTAGTGGAATATTAATACAACAAGGTGACTCATTTAAACATCGTTGAGTAGTCGCTTTGCACCATATAAAGGACATGTAGAAGGATCACAGAGGAGCTCCGGAAAGCCAGGGATCTGTTCATGCGAAATGTTCCGAAAACAGTGATGTTTGTGTGCTGCCTGGCAAGTTGTAGCGAAAACCATTCCATCTGCAAGTAGTTCTAGCTTCAATCCATTAGGGTCTAAGGATACCAAAGAACTCACCCTTCGATCCACCTGAGCTTCGTGGCTGTAGGATGTTCGCACAATCTGCTTGGCTGCTTCGAGGAGGGACCCGGTTGTGTGGGTCACAGAGTTCATCAGCAACGAGAACATCAACGGTTGGATGCAGGTGACAAAGGCCAGCACAAAATACATGAACGCCACGTCAGAGTCACCATGTCCCAGAAATATGCGGATGATCAGGTAACCCACCACAATGCCGCTCCAAAGATTCCGAAGCAAATACCATAGGAACACGAACTTGAAGATGCCACACACCTCCGCAGTTAAGTCGATGAGGGACTGAGACATTTCGTCCAGCTTTCGAATCTGGCACAGTCGGTGGGCCACAGATCTTGGCTGGGGGTCAAGGATAATTTTCTTTAGGCCCGACTCCATGCGCCACCAGCACCGGCAGATCTCAGTAAGAATGATAAAGGCCAAGCTGTTCATGGCAAAGATCATGCACTCGGACATGAAGCAGTAGCACGGACTGAATCCCATCCTGGAGTGGAGAGCGTTAAGGGCCACATGAATGCCCACCCGAAGGGTTAACATGGCGATGAGGAGGAGGAGCAAGCAATCCAAGAATCGCTCTTTGTCCTTCGAAACTGTGTATCCTCTGCGCCTGCTTAGCTCATCCTGGCGCTGCAACTTACACAGGGTTCTGTATATTCTTCCTTGGCAGCGAAAGGAACAGTCCGCGCAGCTAATCACCGTGAGATAGACCATTAAGAAATAGGTAAAGAAGTTCATTGTCATCTGTATGGAGCCACTGATTTCGTTAAAGAACTTATTCCAAAAGTCAAGCAGCAAAAACGATGTCAGAACAAGGACCAAGAGGTTGTGCACAATCCGGTAGATGCCCAGGCCCCGGGACCAGCGAAGTTGACCCGAGCGAAAGTCCACGTTGAAGGCGACAATACCATTTAGGGCGCAAAAGAAGCCCAGACCAAGGTGGATAAGGCGGGTCAGCGTCGGCATGACCTTTCAACTCTCTTTCATCAAAGTAACTGAGGTGTAGTCGGGAATAGCCTTAAACTGAAGTGTTGAGGCCTGTCATTTCCATTACCACAGATATCATTAGCTACATCTCACCTATTGGGAATACTTGTTGCATGAATTTAATTCATTAAGGCCCACCTTCATCGATTTATTATTCTATTAGTTATAGAATCTTGATTCGGAACTCTTTAAGAATTTGTATGCGATTCCTTATGAATACTTACTCAGATTCATCGCTATCTCTATCATCATTACCTTTGAAACTAAAATTAGGTGTTGCTTTTTTTCATTTTCTAAATTTTTGTATGCTCTTGCAGGGTATTATATAGTAGTCCAAAGCATGTAACGATATTAAAGAGTCATTTCCGACCCTATAAACCATATATATTCTTGATCAGCATAAAAAGCTCAATCGATCTAGCCATGTCCGGTCGAAAAATAAATTTTTTAAATTTAAAAAAAAATTGAAAATTTTATAAGGGGTTACATCATTAAAATTGTCAAAATTTGACAAAAAATTGAAGTTGTTAAATTTGAAAACTGAGTATGCAGATTTGTTAACCAATTATAAATTAGCATAGAACAGCTTTCCGAATTGAAATTAATGATTTTTTGGATTGGTTATGCGTTTTTTAAGACTATGATTTTTTGACAAAATTGTCTGTTTTTATACCATTTTGTCAGGTTTTATAATTTTAGTCAAAAACTAACAATAGCATCAACAAACGCAGTATGCAGATTTAATAGTGCAGTAAAAACTAGCACAGAAAAGCTTTCCGAAATAAAATTAATGCAATTTCGGCTTAATTATGATGTCCGAAAAACGTAGATTTTTCAGAAATATTGTCTGTTTTTATACCTTTTTGCGGGGTATAATGTAAGTCAGAAGCTTGTTACGCTGTGAAGGCATCATTTCCGACCATACAAACCATACATATTATTGATCAGCATCAAGAGCTGAATCGATCTAGCCATGTCCGGTCGAAGAATACATTTTTGAAATTTTTTCGAAAATTGAAAATTTCATAAGGGGTTACATCATTAAAATTGTCAAAATTTGGCAAAAATTTGAATTTTGTATAATCTTAAACTGAGTATGCAGATTTATTTCCCTAATAAAAACTAGCACAAAACCGCTTTCCTCATAAAAATTAATGCATTTTTAGCTTAGTTATGAGTTTTTTAAACATTGGTAAAACTTAAACTTTGATAAAAAAAACAACGTGTTAAAAAAATTATTATTCGAGTGATAGCACTTCAAAGTATATCCAAAACTCGCATTTTTAAGACTGACGTATACGTAATTTTTGAGGCGAAGTATATTCTGATTCTTGGTCGGCTTGTTAATTTGTACACCGAATAATAACATCATAGGGAGATGCGAATTCCAATATTTTTAGTATTCCTGCAATTAAACCCCTAACTCTCTTATGTCTTGTTACAAATCCCCTTTGCCCACACATCGACTGGCTAGTGCCATGGAGCCGAGCTCGATGAGACGAGCCGCCGATCCCACATCCATCGATCGGATATCGTATTTAGCACACCGCCGAACTCGGTCCAACTTCAGTTTGGCAGCAGCAATCACGCGAATCAGTTCGAAATCCGGAGCGGACCCGAAATAGTTCAAAACTATACGTTATCCATTGCATCGGGAAATGTGTGGAAAAACGCGAACCACTTGACGGTTGACAAATTTCGGAATAGTCATCACCTTGAGTGCAAATTGATTTGGGGTTGGGGCACAACAAAAAAGATATAAATAAAAACAAGTGGAAAATAATGGACACAGTGCAATTTATGGACGCGGATAGAGATTGCCAATTTTGTTGCTAAAAAGCCGCGAACGCGACAATCAGAGTGCTAAGTGCTCCTATCAATCAGTTCGTTGCCAGAGCAAGGTCGCCCTGCACTGTCATGGCTCGCTTGCTGCTGCCACCGTGTGCCTGGCTGGCCGTTCTGCTCATCCAACTCATCCAGGTGGATGCCCACTATATACAGATTGACCACGAGGAGTTTCGAGCCAGTGGCTTCCCACATCCCCATTTCCCACCGCCACCTCTGACGCCACTGGAGCACCTGCCTCCCCAGGTGCTGGCCACCAAGGAGCTAACACCCGCCGAGGTGATGGTCGATCTAACCAATGACCTGACCCATCGCCTGCTTCACTACCACTCCATCCTAAATCGCAACAACTTTGCCTTCTCGCCCACTGCCCTGGTCAGTGTCCTGGTGGCCCTTTATGAGGGATCCGCTGGCAATAGTGCTGGAGAGCTACGAAATGTGCTGCAGTTGCCCAACAATCGTGACGTCATCCGGGTGGGATACCGCGACATCCACCGACGACTACGGGTGAGTTGGAGGGGGGTGGGCGAGAAAAAAAATGGGCCAATGTGGCACCGATGAACTTAACCCACAGCCAGCGGGAGGCCACCACTCGAAAAAAATAACCCATCTAAAAACACACATTTACATGCCTGGCTAGGCACTCATCGGGAGTGGAAAGGGCGCGGAGTGCGGTGTGCAGACTGTCGAGAGGCCAAGTGGTCATTGATAAAGAACAGAGTTTAAACAAACGGAATTTGCGTGTACACTGACAAACAAATAGTCGCCCCAGGCCTATAGCCACTCAATGCTCGATCGATCTCTAATCGGGTTTCAATAGTTCGTCGACCTCCGCTTTAAATAATCTCCCAAAAAAAGCGAGCAAAGGCAATTGTTCGAGTGAATAGATTTTTTAATTGGCAATCATTATGTATTTACTAAGGGTTTTAGTAGGCATTTAGCTATATAGTAAGCGGAATTAATAGCCCTTATCGAAGGTCTATCACGAGAGAAAGTCTTACTTTGTTATGCATTACAAATTCTTTGTCTACGACTAGAAGGATTAAGACTCCTTGAAGCTTTTAAATTTGCAATAGATAGTGATTTCAATTTCTTTTTAACGATTCTTAAGCTCTTAACTTTGCATAATGCATTTTAAGGTCCTTACATAAACCTTATCATTGATTTTTGATAGTTTGTAGTGATGGTTCAGTAAAGTATACCGTAGATAATTCAATTAATATCTCATGAGACAGGTTTCCTCCTAGCTTTCTTTTTAGAATTGTACAAAAATTGTACAAAAATAAAAATAACGAATCAAAAATATATATATTCCAGACCTATTTCTTTGGCTCCGATAATCCTCTCAAAGGACTCAGCTTAAACAAGGGAAATGTGACGGTCTTAAGGGACTTTGAAACAGTTCTCATGTTCTACGGATACGATCTGAGTGTCGATATGCTATCCGCAACACGGGCCAACTTGACCTCAGACGCCGAGGTGGTCAATACCACGATGGCCAGCAATTCCACGACCGGGGATATGGAAACTGAAACCACCACATTAAAGGACGCAGAAGCCACAACAGAGGCGCTAGCCACGACAACCACAGAGGTGCCAGAAACTACGACAACGGAGGCACCAGCCACAACGACAGAGGCTCCAGCAGAGACAGAGGCCACCACCGAAGCACCGGCTGCCTCGGAAGAGGAGGCAGCAGAACCCGCTGCCGAAGATGAGGCAGCCGAACTGGTGTCCGCCTTTGTGGCCGAAGAGGATGCTGAGCCTTTGCTGCGCATCCAGAAGGCACGAGTTTCCCGGTTGCCCACCAGCAAGCTCCAGGCACCGTTGAAGCACTCGAATCCAATCACTCCCAAGCCCATTTACCTGCCCAGTGCCCGGACAATGGCCATGCCTATGATGGCCCGTCAGGTGGCGGAGCGAAAGCCATCGCCCTTGCGTCAGGTAATTTCCATTTCAGCTCCTTCCCAGGCAGCGAATATGACGCAGACTCGCAAGGCCAAGGCGGCGCGACAAAAACGCCACGCCCTGCCGCCTCCCTACAAGGAACTGGATGCGAATCTCTTCCTCACGCTGTTTAATCCGCACACGCACGTTCCACACCATCCGCTGCATTTTCCACCGCCTGTGCCGGCCCCCTTTGCTCCCATTACCAACGACTTTGAGCCGCACTATGTGGCGGAGGCCGCCGAGGGGAAGTCAAACTACAATACAGATGTGATTAGCCATGTGTTCTACCTGGGCAACCAGCAGGTGGTGCACACCACCTTCAAAGTCTACAACGCGGTGTTGTACTACAAGTATTTTGAGCACCTCAAGATGAGCGTTCTGGAACTGGAGCTGGACACGCCCGAGTACAACCTGATGATCCTCCTGCCCGACTACCACACGGACATCGTGGCCGCTGCCGCCTCCCTCAAGCTGGGTCCCACCCTCCGGCTGATGCGTAAGCAGCTGAAGCCGCGTTGGGTACAGGCCATTATACCCGACTTCAAGCTCCACGGGACCATGTTTCTCACCAACGACCTGCAGAATGTGAGTTTGCATCAGCGGATTACACTTTAGCGTTGTGTCTTTATTGCTTTTCTTTTATTTTATCGTTGCGATGCAGATGGGCATGTAAGATGATTGTTGGCGACTCAGGTGCTAGCTGCTAGACGCTCCCGGGCTCACTTTTACTTTCATTGCAGCTGTGACGTCTTCGAGCCGAACCGCGCCGATTTTCGACCCATGACTGATGAGAAGGGCGTCTATGTGCGGCACATTGAGCAATCCATAGACGTCACCATCCGTACGCATCCCATCAATCAGCTGAAGCGTAGGTATCTCGCATTGCAGCAGCGCACCTCCAACGAAGGCAGTGGGCCGCAACGCGCATCTTTATATTGCCCCACCTGTTGCTGCTGCTGTGCAACATCAGACAAAGACAAAGGTGCAATAAACACTTCCTTTCGCTCCCTCCCTAGGCAACTACGGCGCCCAAACGAAGCCCATTCAGATCTCCGTGAACCATCCGTTTCTGTTTTTCATCATCGATCGCGACCTGGACGTGGCTGTGATGTCGGGCCGCATACTGAATCCGCTGAACGTGCGCATCCAATGAAGCACGACGAGGCAAGGTCGCTACGAAAGTGATGGGATGCCTTTGTGTGCTTCCGACAGTTAGTTAGTACTCATAGTTTGCAGATGTAAATATATTTGTTATCATAAGCTCACCCTTTTGCAAATAAATATATAGTGAGGTTGTCCTTAGCCTAATCAGTTCCCCCGGAAAGTAGATATGTCCTAGTACTGGTAAGTGCCAAACACGGTGCACACGCAGAAGAGACTCGTGTTGCTAAAGACCTCGGACACTGAGGTATCACAGTCGCAGTCCCAGCAGCAGCGCGAATTGTAGGTGGCACCGGCACCCAACTCCTGGCCGAGCATCACCTGAACCACATGCTTGTAGCGCTTCACCTTGGCACTGGTGGCTATCTGCTGGTTCACCGCATCGGCTATCTCACTCGTCCATGTCCTGGCGACGTCCTTGTCATAGGTTTTGTCTGCATTTGAGAGGCATTAGTTGAGTTTAGTAGCTTAGCAACCGGTCTGTGGGGTCTTCGCTTCTTCGATTTTTTCACTGAGCTTACCCTTGAGTCTCTCGGCCATCACGGTGTTCATGATGTGCTTTATGGTGGGCAGGGGAAACATCTCGCCAAAGGCTGGTCGCATGCTGTAAGCGGTGGGCTGCGCCAGCGCCTTGTCCTGGTTTTCCGGCTTTTCCTCGGCGGCGCCAGCTGAAGCTGTGTTAAGCGTTTCGGGCATTGCCTTTTTGGCAGCTGCTGTCACTATAACGGACTTGGGGGCTTCACCATTAGATTGTTTATCGGCCATTATGTAGTTAGCAATTATAGTTTGTACGATTTATTTATTGAGTATTTGTAATTTGTTGTTTGCTTGTTTACTTGTCCATTCACCACGACGCGCTGACATCCACTCAGTGCTGCCACCTTATGCAACCAAAAGTGGCAACTACAACATGTATTGCCAGTTAAATATTTAAAATGTAACTCAAACAAGAAAAGAATCAAACTTCTAAAAGCCGAAGTTTACTTACCCTTGAAGTTTGTCGTTGAATTATACAATCATATCGGAAATTGAATATAACAGAGCTTAAATTATTCGCAATCAATATTTATAGGTATTTTTATATGAGGATTTCTTCGCTGAATCAAAGTTTGAAAAGCTCATAGCTAAGTCAAAAATGCATTACTTTGAATTTGAAAAGCTGTTCTATGATAGTTTTTAATAGATTAACAAATCTGCATACTCAGTTTTCAAATTTAAAAAATTAATTTTATTGTCAAATTTTGACAATTTTAATGATGTAACCCCTTATAAAATTTTCAATTTTCGAATAAATGTTAAAAATGTATTTTTCAACCGGACATGGCTAGATCGATTCAACTTTTGATGCTGATCAAGAATATATATGGTTTGTAGGGTCGAAAATGATTCCTTCACAGCGTAACAAGTTTCTGATTTACATTATACCCCGCAAAAAGGTATAAAAACAGACTATTTTTCTGAAAAAATCGAAATTTTCCGGACATCATAATTATGCCGAAATTGTTTTAATTTTAATTCGGAAAGCTTTTCTGTGTTAGTTTTTATTAAACTTTTAAAACTGCATACTGAGTTTGTTGATGCTATTGTTAGTTTTTGATTAAAATTTAAAACCTGACAAAAGGGTATAAAAACAGACAATTTTGTCAAAAAATCATAGTCTTAAAAAACGGATAACTAATCCAAAAAATCATTAATTTCAATTCGGAAAGCTGTTCTATGCTAATTTATAATTGGTTAACAAATCTGCATACCCAGTTTTCAAATTTAACAACTTCAATTTTTTGTCAAATTTTGACAATTTTAATGATCCCTTATAAAATTTTCAATTTTCGAAAAAATTTCCAAATTTTATTTTTCGACCGGACATGTCTAGATCGACTTAGCTCTTGATGCTGATCAAGAATATATATGGTTTGTAGGGTCGGAAATGCTTCCTTCTCATCGTTACAAGCTTCTGTCTCTCTTACTCCTTTACGGAGGATCTAGAAAAGAATTTATCAATCCTGACGATCCTAATCAGGATAATGAAAAATGTTTTTCAAATTATTGCATTGTCACCGGTCCTTGAACAGTATGCAAACTTTGAAGCTTATCAGATATTTGAAAACCCTTGAAAATAGTGTTCAAAGTTTTCGTTACATCTCGAGCAAAAAAATTTGGCGAATTCTCCATACAAATTTCTTAATTTCTTGGTTTTGTGTACCAGGCAAACAGAAAGCTCCGCAAGCAGCTATTCAGCTGATTAAATAGTTCTAAAATAACGGATCTTAAAAGAGAGTAACGTGAAGAACCTCTCTGATTGGTCAGTTGAAACGTAAACAAAGAGCGGCCATTAGGTTAAATTCAAATGTAAACAAAGGGCGCCATTAAAAAGTCCTGATGTAACGGATCTTTAAAGAGGGGAACGTCTCTGATTGGTCAATTCAAACGTAAACAAAGAGCGGCCATTAGGTTCTGGAAAAGATCCGTTATAAACAGCTCGTGCTGTTGTGCTGCTGGGTCACTGCCATCTGTTTCTGTTTGCCTGGTTAAACCAATTGCTGAATTAGTCTGACTACAGCCCATATTTGTAAGAAATAACAACAAATCCAACAACACACGTAGCTGAATTGTCGAAATTCGCTATTCAACTCGTGTCTTTATGTACCAGGCAAACAGAATGTTCCACAAGCAGCTGATCCGCTGATACAAATGTCCTAAAATAACGGATCTTAAAAGAGGGAGATGTGAAGAACCTCTCTCTAATTGGTCAATTCAAATGTAAACAAAGGGCGGCCATTAGATTAAATTCAAATGTAAACAAAGGGCGACCATTAAAGTTCTGAAGTAACCTCTCTGATTGGTCAATTCAAACGTAAACAAAGGGCGGCCATTAGGAAAGTTGAAAAGATCCGTTATAATCAGCAAGTGCTGTTGTGCTGCTGCTGAGTTGCTGCCAGCTGTTTCTGTTTGCCTGGTATAATTATTAAATTTGTCTGCTTAAATAACGCCGAGCCGGGGCTAGGCAGATTTTTTTTTGTAATGAAAACTGACATCGGGAAGCTTTAATGCTTCGGCTTTCCAAAGATAGGTTTATTTGTTGTTATTCCTGATTTTAGAAGTAAATTAGAAAATTTCGAAAATTAAAAATATGAATTCTCTGGGTTTGAGTTAAATTTAATAAAACGAGGTGAGAATAGCAGCTTCTAATAATTGCACTACTTTTTGCTTTTGTCCTTGTCCTTAACGGTGTACTTGTCATAGGATTTTATGGGATCGTACGGCTCCCAGCGGCTGGCCGGGAAGATGTGCTTGGTTCGTTCGTACCAGGATCGGCGGAGCACCTTGCCAGCGTGCGTCTCCTCTTTTTCGACAGAGGCATCGCTGATAATGCGCACGTCGTCGTGGACGTCGACCTGGAAGAGCGGACCGGACTTACCGCGGGCCTTAGTCACAATAAAGGCGTCAAAGGAGTAATGGTGCGGCAGTACCAAATCCTCCTTGACATACATCAGCTGGTCGGCCATCACGGTCTTCAGTTCGATAAACTCCTTGCGCAGCAACTCAAGGCACTTTTGCAGGAACTGGTAGATGGAGTTTCCCTTCTTTATCAGTACGCTGCGCCGATGGTCTGATCCGCCTTTGACAAGAAATTTTTTAATTTGAACACTGAGTATGCAGCTTTGTTAATCTTCTTAAAAGTAGCATAGAACAGCTTTCCGAATAAAAATTAATGATTTTTTGGCTTAGTTATGAGTTTTTTAAAACTATGATTTTTGGGAAAAAATGTCTGTTTTTATACCTTTTTGCGGGGTTTTTATAATTATAGTCAGAAACTTATAACAGCATCAACAAACGCAGTATGCAGATTTGTTAGTGCTATAAAAAGTTGCACAGAAAAGTTTTCCGAATCAAAATTAATGCTATTTTGGCTTAATTATGATGTTTGGAAAACTCCGATTATTTAAGAAAATTGTCTGTTTTTATACCTTTTTTCGGAGTATAGCTTCAATTCGAAGATTAAAACGCAGTGAAAGAATCATTTCCGACCCTATAAACCATATATATTCTTGATCAGCATCAACAGCCCAGTCGTTCTAGCCATGTCTGGTCAAAAAATAAATTTTCGACATTTTTCCGAAAATTGAAAATTTTATAAGGGGTTACATCATTAAAATTGCCAAAATTTGACAAAAAATTGAATTTTGTATATTTAAAAACTGAGTATGCAGCTTTGTTAATCTACTAAAAAATAGCATAGAACAGCTTTCCGAATTAAAATTAATGATTTTTTGGCTTAGTTATGAGTTTTTTAAAACTATGATTTTTGGGAAAAATTGTCTGTTTTTACACCTTTTTGCGGGGTTTTTATAATTATAGTCAGAAACTTATAACAGCATCAACAAACGCAGTATGCAGATTTGTTAGTGCTATAAAAAGTTGCACAGAAAAGTTTTCCGAATCAAAATTAATGCTATTTTGGCTTAATTATGATGTTTGGAAAACTCCGATTATTTAAGAAAATTGTCTGTTTTTATACCTTTTTTCGGAGTATAGCTTCAATTCGAAGATTAAAACGCAGTGAAAGAATCATTTCCGACCCTATAAACCATATATATTCTTGATCAGCATCAACAGCCCAGTCGTTCTAGCCATGTCTGGTCAAAAAATAAATTTTCGACATTTTTCCGAAAATTGAAAATTTTATAAGGGGTTACATCATTAAAATTGCCAAAATTTGACAAAAAATTGAATTTTGTATATTTAAAAACTGAGTATGCAGCTTTGTTAATCTACTAAAAAATAGCATAGAACAGCTTTCCGAATTAAAATTAATGATTTTTTGGCTTAGTTATGAGTTTTTTAAAACTATGATTTTTGGGAAAAATTGTCTGTTTTTACACCTTTTTGCGGGGTTTTTATAATTATAGTCAGAAACTTATAACAGCATCAACAAACGCAGTATGCAGATTTGTTAGTGCTATAAAAAGTTGCACAGAAAAGTTTTCCGAATCAAAATTAATGCTATTTTGGCTTAATTATGATGTTTGGAAAACTCCGATTATTTAAGAAAATTGTCTGTTTTTATACCTTTTTTCGGAGTATAGCTTCAATTCGAAGATTAAAACGCAGTGAAAGAATCATTTCCGACCCTATAAACCATATATATTCTTGATCAGCATCAACAGCCCAGTCGTTCTAGCCATGTCTGGTCAAAAAATAAATTTTCGACATTTTTCCGAAAATTGAAAATTTTATAAGGGGTTACATCATTAAAATTGCCAAAATTTGACAAAAAATTGAATTTTGTATATTTAAAAACTGAGTATGCAGCTTTGTTAATCTACTAAAAAATAGCATAGAACAGCTTTCCGAATTAAAATTAATGATTTTTTGGCTTAGTTATGAGTTTTTTAAAACTATGATTTTTGGGAAAAATTGTCTGTTTTTATACCTTTTTGCGGGGTTTTTATAATTATAGTCAGAAACTTATAACAGCATCAACAAACGCAGTATGCAGATTTGTTAGTGCTATAAAAAGTTGCACAGAAAAGTTTTCCGAATCAAAATTAATGCTATTTTGGCTTAATTATGATGTTTGGAAAACTCCGATTATTTAAGAAAATTGTCTGTTTTTATACCTTTTTTCGGAGTATAGCTTCAATTCGAAGATTAAAACGCAGTGAAAGAATCATTTCCGACCCTATAAACCATATATATTCTTGATCAGCATCAACAGCCCAGTCGTTCTAGCCATGTCTGGTCAAAAAATAAATTTTCGACATTTTTCCGAAAATTGAAAATTTTATAAGGGGTTACATCATTAAAATTGCCAAAATTTGACAAAAAATTGAATTTTGTATATTTAAAAACTGAGTATGCAGCTTTGTTAATCTACTAAAAAATAGCATAGAACAGCTTTCCGAATTAAAATTAATGATTTTTTGGCTTAGTTATGAGTTTTTTAAAACTATGATTTTTGGGAAAAATTGTCTGTTTTTACACCTTTTTGCGGGGTTTTTATAATTATAGTCAGAAACTTATAACAGCATCAACAAACGCAGTATGCAGATTTGTTAGTGCTATAAAAAGTTGCACAGAAAAGTTTTCCGAATCAAAATTAATGCTATTTTGGCTTAATTATGATGTTTGGAAAACTCCGATTATTTAAGAAAATTGTCTGTTTTTATACCTTTTTTCGGAGTATAGCTTCAATTCGAAGATTAAAACGCAGTGAAAGAATCATTTCCGACCCTATAAACCATATATATTCTTGATCAGCATCAACAGCCCAGTCGTTCTAGCCATGTCTGGTCAAAAAATAAATTTTCGACATTTTTCCGAAAATTGAAAATTTTATAAGGGGTTACATCATTAAAATTGCCAAAATTTGACAAAAAATTGAATTTTTTATTTTAAAAACTGAGTATGCAGCTTTGTTAATCTACTAAAAATAGCATAGAACAGCTTTCCGAATAAAAATTAATGATTTTTTGGCTTAGTTATGAGTTTTTTAAAACAATGATTTTTCGAAAAAATGGTCCGTTTTTATACCTTTTTGCAGGTTTTTATGATTTTAGTGAAAAACTGACAATAGCATCAACAAACGCAGTATGCAGATTTGTTAGAGCAATAAAAACTAGCACAGAAAAGCTTTCCGAATTAAAATTAATGCAATTTCGGCCTAATTATGATGTCCGTTAAACTGTTATTTTTCTAAAAAATAGCCTGTTTTTATACCTTTTTGAAGAATATAAGTTAAGTCAGAAGCTTCGAACGCAATGAAGGAGTCATTTCCGACCCTATAAACCATATATATTCTTGATCAGAATCAACAGCCCAGTCGTTCTAGCCATGTCCGGTCAAAAAATAAATTTTTAACATTTTTCCGAAAATTGAAAATTTCATAAGGGGTTACATCATTAAAATTGCCAAAATTTGACAAAAAATTGAATTTTTTAAATTTGAAAACTGAGTATGCAGCTTTGTTAATCTACTAAAAACTAGCATAGAACAGCTTTCTGAATTAAAATTAATGATTTTTTGGCTTAGTTATGAGTTTTTTAAACTATGATTTTTCGAAAAAATGGTCCGTTTTTATACCTTTTTGCAGGTTTTTATAATTTTAGTCAAAAACTGACAATAGCATCAACAAACGCAATATGCAGATTTGTTAGAGCAATAAAAACTAGCACAGAAAAGCTTTCCGAATTAAAATTAATGCAATTTCGGCCTAATTATGATGTCCGAAAAACTTTTATTTTTCTAAAAAATTGCCTATTTTTATACCTTTTTGAAGAATATAAGTTAAGTCAGAAGCTTCGAACGCAATGAAGGAGTCATTTCCGACCCTATAAACCATATATATTCTTTATCAGGATCAACAGCCCAGTCGTTCTGGCTATGTCTGGTGAAAAAATAAATTTTCGACATTTTTCCGAAAATTGAAAATTTTATAAGGGGTTACATCATTAAAATTGTCAAAATTTGACAACAAATTGAATTTTTTAAATTTGAAAACTGAGTACGCAGCTTTGTTAATCTACTAAAAACTAGCATAGAACAGCTTTCCGAATTAAAATTAATGATTTTTTGGCTTAGTTATGAGTTTTTTTAAACTATGATTTTTGGGAAAAATTGCCTGTTTTTATACCTTTTTGCAGGTTATTATAATTTTAGTCAGAAACTTATAACAGCATCAACAAACGCAGTATGCAGATTTGTTAGTGCTATAAAAACTTGCACAGAAGAGCTTTCCGAATCAAAATTAATGCTATTTTGGCTTAAATATGATGTTCGGAAAACTGCGATTATTTAAGAAAATTGTCTGTTTTTATACCTTTTTGCTGGTTTTTATGATTTCAGTCGGAAACTGACAACAGCATTAACAAACGCAGTATGCAGTAACCCTTTATAAAATTTTCAATTTTCGGAAAAATGTCGAAAATTTATTTTTTGACCAGACATGGCTAGAACGACAGGGCTGTTGATGCTGATCAAGAATATATATGGTTTATAGGGTCGGAAATGATTCTTTCACTGCGTTTTAATCTTCGAATTGAAGCTATACTCCGAAAAAAGGTATAAAAACAGACAATTTTCTTAAATAATTGGAGTTTTCCAAACATCATAATTAAGCCAAAATAGCATTAATTTTAATTCGGAAAACTTTTCTGTGCAACTTTTTATAGCACTAACAAATCTGCATACTGCCTTTGTTGATGCTGTTATAAGTTTCTGACTATAATTATAAAAACCCCGCAAAAAGGTGTAAAAACAGACAATTTTTCCCAAAAATCATAGTTTTAAAAAACTCATAACTAAGCCAAAAAATCATTAATTTTAATTCGGAAAGCTGTTCTATGCTATTTTTTAGTAGATTAACAAAGCTGCATACTCAGTTTTTAAATATACAAAATTCAATTTTTTGTCAAATTTTGGCAATTTTAATGATGTAACCCCTTATAAAATTTTCAATTTTCGGAAAAATGTCGAAAATTTATTTTTTGACCAGACATGGCTAGAACGACTGGGCTGTTGATGCTGATCAAGAATATATATGGTTTATAGGGTCGGAAATGATTCTTTCACTGCGTTTTAATCTTCGAATTGAAGCTATACTCCGAAAAAAGGTATAAA